CAGCATTGATTGCAAATGGCTATGATAATAACATGTTAATACAGTTTATGAAATCTTCATCTTGGATCGATATCTCAATCTTTAGATCGATCGGTAACTGTATTGATCGATTGCTGTTCTCAAGACCTTCAGGTTGGCATATGTTATTTTTTACATTAACTTGTCAATACGGCACGCTTTTGAAGTCAGTTGACGGCTTTATAAAGATAAACTTATTTATTTTGTGCTTTGGTGGCAACTTCTAAAGTTAGGCAACATAAAATTTGCCGCGGTCATTTGTTAATTGGTAAATTTGACTATAATTAATGGTATTTAACAAGCACCTCCTAACTTTGGAACACAAGTTTGAAGTTAGTCCTAGCTAACTTCAACTAATCATTAAGTCATTGGATCAATAATATCTGACAGTAATACGTAGCGAGCTTTTTTCAGCGATCTCATGCTGATAAGAAAGCCCTTAGGTAATGAAAGAAGATATGAAAGTTTCCGGAACCATTATGATAATACGTTATACTTACTCGTATACAACAAATATTGCCTGTATCATACGAGTATTAAGTATGGATTGATAAAGATAGAGCTATTCAATGTACAGACGACGGAATTTGATATTCCGTCGTAAAACATCTTATGAAGTGGCAATAAGTACTATTTCTCAACAAAAGTACTTAGATGCGCGGACGACTGTATGTATGTTAATAAACTTAACCTTTATAATAGGGCCTCATAAAATTGCGTATATATCATTCTTACTTTGTATGTGAATGTAATTCTTCTTATTTATACAACATCTGCACAAAAACTAGAATGATTGAAGATAAACATGAACCAACTTAAAGCCATAGTCCAAATGAAAAAGTAAGTAAACACTTTAATTTATCGGCAATTTGGCAATATTAATTTACTTTTATGATACCTATTTAGTGATTCTTCTTCCCAGTCATTACACTCTTGACAGAGTGATCTTAGACGTCATGAGTGTGGACTGTTGTGGGCGGATATTGCTGGCCTTACCATGTCTTACTTATATCTTTCCCTATCGCTGCATTCGTGTAGGAGACCGTTTTTTTAGTGACAGTTCTTCTCAAAAAATATTGTAGGCACTTAGACTCAAAATCAAATCGAAACAGTAAGTTGTAAAATTATTTAGTTTTACAAGATAATAAATTGATATTATTCCATAGCCCATGAACGCATTCTGTTTCGCATGTCGAACCATTGTAAATATGTAATTTCATATGCATTTGAGTTATTACAATAATTAAAACAAAACATGAAGTAACATATTAAGAGTTAAATTAAAACTATTTGTAACATAATTTTATAATTAACAGGAATATTTATGTTCCTTTATCATTGTCAAGTTAAGTTTTAAAAGTTTTTCGTTGGCTTTTATAAAGTTATCTACCAGGCCGGGCTAGGTTGCCCTCCCTATTTTATTAACGATTTTAGACGACAAATGTATGAGCTAATCGTGAAAAATCGATAAAATGCCCCGACTAAAGTTTATCGTTACGCGCATTCTAAGTGACTGTCCTGACTGTTCTCTTTGGGCTATGCTTCAAGTGATAGTAATCTGATATTATGCAAGTGCCTAATTCATTATGGTCATGGCTCAATAGGCAGATGCTATTATCATTTCACCTGTCAAGCTTGAGTTGCCCCTCACAGTCATAGCGTACACTTTGACCCAGTTCGATGAGCGACTTGTAACACTTTTATTTATTATCAACAATGTAATAATTTAGTAATGAATTGGAGATGTGAGATGAAAAGTTAAATACGCGTATCTTTGGAATTATAGATTTGGTTTTAAAAAATCTTTCACCAATACGTAGTTGCATTTTAAGACTAAAAGTCAATTTCCTACGATTTTGTTTTAATTGGTGCTAATGAAATGCACTTGCAGTTGTATCTTGTGTATTACTCCAATGCAATGCGGTGTTTTAGACAGTTCGTTAAACATGAATCCTCCACTAGGTGGACCGACGATTTGGTGAAGGTCACGGGAAGCACGTGGTTATGGGCAGCGCCGGAACATTGTGGAAATCCTTGGGGGGATGAGGGTTTGTGTGGTTGAATATCATCATCATCATGATCATCATCATCATCATCATCATCATTATCATCATGATCATCATCATCATCATTTCAGCCATAGGACGTCCACTGCTGAACATAGGCCTCCCCCAATGATTTCCACAATGGCCGGTTGGTGGCGGCCTGCATCCAGCGCCTTCCTGCTATCTTTATGAGGTCGTCGTTCCACCTTGAAAATCATAAAATATTTAGTAAACAGAATACAGAACAGAATCTAATATAAGTTACAATGAAGTTGGATATACTTTTGAGCGTTTTTTTGTATGTTTAAATATTTATAAGACAATCCAGTTGATTCATGTCTTCATATTTTTATCAAAACTGTTCCACATAGAAAACAAACCTATAACAAACTGACACACTGATGTCTTTACTATTCTACATGCCCCATCTTGATACCGAACGTAGGACTTTCTAGCCACTAGCCCCCCGTGGCGTCAAAGTTGCATAAATACGATAGGTCATTTTGTTTAAACGTGAAAGGCCATATCACGATAATGAAGATGCATTTTAATGCATGATGCGATTAAGATATTATTGTACTTCCTGCAACAATTAGACAGGAACTAACACTAAAATTATTGACCTTGGCACGGTGGTGTGGTGGCGCGTGAAAGAGTAGCGGATTCGATTCGCGTGTGTGTTTGATTAGAGACTTCCGTTGAATTTGAGTTCCTTAAAAAAATTACTGAGGCTTGTGGGTTTTGAAAAGATGATTTTTTATAGATCTTCATTAATAATAATAATAATAATAAATGATTCTTTATTCAAGTTACTAGGACTCAGTTTGTTAATATTTTCATTGGAGAAAGAATTCAAGCCTGTATTATTCTGAAACCCAATCAACCACAGATTCAAATTTAAATCAATTGTATACCACTTGTATTGTTTCAGAATAAGAAACTATACCATACTAATTACTACTAAGTACTCTATACCAGATCATTATGGGATATAAATAAATAGCAAGACAAATGTGTAGTACGATTTTTTTTAAATGCATGGCAAGGCAGATATTTGACCGCAATCGCACCTGGTGTTAAGTGAGATGCAGTCTAGGATGTGTTGTCAAATTGTAACCTTAATACTATACTTACCTATTATTAAAAATTCGATATTATAAAGATCGAAACCTAAAATTTAGAAATCCTCACGGTTAAAACTTTCTTTGAGACTATTTGCCGGTGTATACGTACTACGTAGTACTTATTATTATTCTGTGGTGTAATCAAGAGTTGCTTCGTTTGAAATGAGTAGGAAAAGGGTCTGAAAAACATTCAATTATCTAATTATTTGTCGGCCGTTTGGTGTAGTGGTTCAGAACGGACTACTATGCCGAGAGGTCCCTGGTTCGATTCCCGGCCGGGCAGAAATTGAAATGATGAATTTTAATTTCTGTTACGGGTCTGGGTGTGACTATGTATAATATTTATGTATTTAAAAAAAAAAAAGTATATAAGTAGTATATCCGTTAAGCTAGCACCCATAACACAAGCATTAAGTTGCTTACTTTGGGGCTAGCTGGCGCTGTGTGAAATTGTCCAAAGATTTATTTATTTATTTATTTATTTATCACAATCTATAAAATCTTTGTCTGAAAATATTATGAGCCGGAAGGAAGTCTGTGGTTAGTAAAATACTTAAAACAACATGGCTTGCTTAGAGCTTAATTGTAATTAGATAAGTATACCAAATTTCAGCTCAATCGGTTGAGGAGAACTGGTCTTAAATTCAGTTGCAATATTTGTCCCACACATACTAACAAGTGAAGTTAATATAAAGCTTGTAAAAAATGTGAGGTTTTTAACCTATTGGTTTTAACTTCAGCTTCAAGGTATAAAAATATTAATTTATGCAATAAGTAAAGTTCACTTGGTCAATGATGACCTGATGAGCCATGTGAATTTGGAATGATGTGATCAACTGATCTTTTATCTGATAACATTTTACTAAAATGTCTTCGAAATAGTAAAGAAGTTGGTAAAGTTAATGTTGATTTGCATTCGATTGCCTTTAAAAAAATACAATAACAAACTGAAGAGTCTTACGTAGACGAAATGATTTAAACGTAATTCATCATTATCATCATTTCAGCCATAGAACGTCCATTGCTGAACATAGGCGTCCCCCAATGCTTTCCATGTTGATCGATTGGTAGTAAACGAAATTATTTTGCCCTAATTTACTTTAAGTTAAGTGTAAGTATGAAAGGGATGATTGTCTCAAATAAAATTGATACTGTATTAGGCATGTTAAAAATACATACATATTACTGAACATGATAATGCCAGAGGCTATCAGACTTAAGAATATGGTGCTGGTAGCTATAGCCAGACAGACTTATAACAAGCCCTACCACTAACCAAATTTGTGGCACAAAATTTTGCCCCACTGGGAATCGAAACCGAGCCCTCTGTGTCTGAAGTGAAGCAGGTGGTCTTACCGACTTAGGCGGTATAAAGTTATATTGACAGTAAAATTGATCAGTTACGCATAAATTTAATTCCTAAATTACATTTTCATCGTAAATTTTCAAAATCAAAGCCAATCAACGAATTTGGTGAGCTTTAATTTGAATGTTTATTTATTACGCGTTATATTTCATACATAAAAATGTTTAGAAGTCGTAAAACAAACTGATCTAATCGAGATCAATATATCATATCCATTCCAATGCCATATAATCTAAACTAATTACCAAGTACACATTAATTACCAACAATTTGGTTAAAACGTTCGAAAAATCAGGCCTTGTCGGAGTTCGTTGCGAATTTCAACTTTGACACGTTCGATTTAAGGAACCGCGCGTGAAGGGATGCGCCTGCGCACAGTGACGTCACAGATAGAGTATCGGTCATATATCGAATTGGTATATAACCTCCGTAGTTCTCGGTCTGGTCACATTCCATAGGCACCTCTTCAGAAGAACGCATCATCATGAAATACGTTAGTATTTGTAATAGTGATATAGTGGTTACCTTTCTATTCGCGTGTCACGATTTTAGGCCGAGTGTTTTGTGTTGCATCTGTTTAACAATTAGGATCGGGATTCTAGATGTTGCTGTGATAAATTGTGATTGAATTGGTTTTGAAAAGTGAAGTTTTATCAAATTGTAAAGTGTTGCGGCCGTGATTGTGATTTTCATTCATTTCAGTAATAAGTGGGAAAGTAACAACATAATTATTAATTTGTGGCAAAATTTTGAAAACAATATTGGTACTGTAAAGATCTTAATATTAGCAGTCCAATAAGTTTGCCATCAAATTAATTTAAGTAGCTAAAAGCTACCAAAATTATGCAAGAGTATTTGAAATAAACTCATTTTTCTGTCAAAATATTTTCGCAATCTGTCAATTGACCTAATAAATCTTTACAACTCTACTGCAGTAAAATTTATTTTGTTAACACTTAGCACTTACTTCATAATGTCACCATCGTCAATAATTCAGTAAGATCAGTCAAAAGCAATCAATCGATCCTTGACCTGTATATTTGAAATTGTCACCACATTTTACATGCCAAACTCTCTTTATTTTATAATTATTCACAACAAAACAAGCAACTATAGAAAACACAAAATGTTGAACGACCCTCGCAGTTCATAGAAAACATAAAATATCAAACGGCACTTTTAATTCAAGTAGAGTTTCTAATCGGGATTAATCCCACCTCTTTTTCTTTAACCAGAATCTACTGTTTAATCACCCATAAAATCCAACCAATAAAGGTTATTTTTTTACCCATAACTGAGAAGCTCTCTCACTTGATGGAAGATGATGATCAGGCCTAAGGTGGAAGCAAGTTATACCCGGAATCCTCAACCACAAAGGATGTGGCTCTTACTTCCAACAGCCTCCAGAAGCTTAACATCAATCAGAAGTTGATTTTCTAACCAGGATCTTTAAATTTCCAGCTCATCATCCTTGCCCTGGCATCCGTAGCCACCGCTGCAAAGTTGGACAAGGTCTACCTTCCTCCCAACGCGCAGTCATCTGGCGGTGCTAACGCTGGTCTCCAAGCTCCCTTCGGTGCCTCTGGACCTTCAAGCTTCGCATCATCAGGCCCCCAAAGCTACAGCGGTGCCAGTGCATCATCAAACGCTGAGATCTTGAAGTACGAGAACGAGATCAATGAAGATGGATACCACTACGCTTACGAGACCAGCGATGGGACTAAGGCTGAGCAAGAAGGTAAAGGTTGACGTACTATGCTTGGAATTCCTTGGAAGGTAGTGCTAGTGTAGGGACCGGACTACTGTGGTAGAGATCCCAGGTTCAGTCCTCGGACAACACAAACGTTTGTACTCGTATATCGCAGTATTTACAAGTATAATTTTCATTTGTGATTGTTATTATTTTAAAATACTTTAAATATCTTTAGATAATATCTATCATATTATGATGTCCAATAAAATGTTAATACTAGGCAAACTACCAAACTGGTTTCGTTTAATTAAAAAACGTATTTGTGCGAAACTTCAATGTCCGTCATTACTGAAGCTTTAATTTGTAAATAATTATCTTGTTTTTCTTTATTTTGTCATCTAAAAGGCATTTGTTACAGGCTGTTTGATTTTAAAATGTAAACTAAGCTGTATGAGTAAGGAGAGATTCTCGTTGGGTACAGTTGTTTAAAGGCTCAAAAACAAATTGATTTTAACTGTCCACACTATTTATACTACAGTAGAATCTCGATTAACCGGATATCCGATTATCCGGACTTGTTCTTCACGGTTTCTAATTACCGATTTAGTCGTAATAAATGAACTCGTTGCTACTTGGTTTATTCTTGAAGATAATGAAGTAAGAACGCAATGCCATCGAAGTAACATGCTCGTATTCGTATTCTTCGTATGTATTTGCGATTCTGACATATAATTTCCAAAATGCCGCAACCTCACCAGAGTACAATACTGTAAACCTCGTTAACGTGATTGCCATAGTTTTGCGTCACACAGAAATAATGGTGTTTGACACAAAATCTTCAATTGCATACATCATTATGGAGAATGCAATAACATTCGTGGTTCCAGTAGATTAGTTACATTATTGTCCATGGGTATTTCAGTTTGATCCAAACATCTTCACCAAAAACTATGATTAGGTCTAAAAATCAAGAATTATGAAGCCTTTTTATCATGAATTTAAATTTTAATCTCATAAATGGTTCATTATTTTGAAATCTGCTTATAAACAATGCTACAAGTTCAACTTCTTCACAGCTAATGCCAAATATTTGACTCGAAGAAAAAAGTGTGAGTCATGTAAAACTTATGTTTTGTTCTTTCTTTCAATATTTGACTATTTGTAAGCATCATTTAATAGTCTAATAGAAAAAAATAATAATTGAGCTTGATATACACATAGTCCAGTCATTTCGTCCGAAAAAAAGGCAAATAAAAGAAAATGAATTTGCGCTTCTAATTTTTTAATATGTTGTAGGGGATACCTAGAAAAGCTTAACTTGAGATTGTCGACCAAGCTTTCCTAGGAGCTTTCGCCGCCATCTTGGAAAACGCTTAAAATTTGTTTTTCGGCAATAACTCGGCTATCCGATGAGATTCGAAAATTTTTGTAGGACACTTTTTGTAGCTTTCTTTGTGCTCTACAATAACGCCCGAACCATTTTTAGCGTATCATGCATCGTTATCGAGATATCGATCGATAAAGTCAAAAATTTTGGACACAATTTTTGTTTTTTTCTTTTTTTTTCTTTGGGTCTTAATAAATATGAAAAATTCCGAAATAATTAAATAATTAATTAAAAAGTAAAAAGTAAAATTTAATTACTTTTAATTACTTTTTAATTACTTTTTTTTAAGTAACGGCAAAGCATTTGTATTAGTTGGTTCTTGTTTTGATCCCTTGTGAGAAACTTCTCCTGGCTAACTTTTGGAGTAGTTGTCTCATCGAATGTGAACTCCGGCGATTGGTTTTTTCTCGAACGTCGTACTCTTTCCGAAGTTTTCGTTCCAGCGAGTGTCATATCAGTCGGATAACCGTCGAATATGATTGCAACCTTTCCTTCGAAGTTATGTTGTACGTATCTGACGTTAATTATTTAATTATTCCGAAATAATTTGTGTCCAAAATTTTTGACTTTATCGATCGATATCTCGATAACGATGCATGATACGCTAAAAATGGTTCGGGCGTTATTGTAGAGCACAAAGAAAGCTACAAAAAGTGTCCTACAAAAATTTTCGAGTCTCATCGGATAGCCGAGTTATTGCCGAAAAACAAATTTTACCCCTTTTTTCAACATGGCGGCGAAAGCTCCTAGGAAAGTTTGGTCGACAATCTCAAGTTAAGCTTTTCTAGGCATCCCCTACAACATATTAAAAAATTTGAAGCGCAAATTCATTTTCTTTTTTGAATGTACGTAATGACTGGACTAACACACAATCACGTAGAGCTCAATGAAAGCTAGGCTCTGATGACATACAAATATTTACTCACTTCTTGATGAATAATTATTCAGTTATAGTTCAATTTGTACCCAATTAGGCCAACCTTGTTTGCTTGAACGTGAGAACACAACATATCGAAGTAAACACGAACCGAAATCATAGCAAATGCAACAGTTTAAAAGTAAACTAGCCAATTATTTATCGAAAGGTTAACAACGGTTTAGACGGACGTGTTAAGTTAAATTATGGCTCTTTGTTAACGAGCTTAAATTAAGCACATGCAATGTTATGCAGTTTAAGGAATTCGGGTCTAAGTTTACGTTAAACTTTATACTGACATCTATATGTAGACAATGTAACATTTGTTATGGATTCGATTACGTGATCGTTTCGCTATGTGCAGAAAATAAGTGACCAGAAACTTAATAAAAATAAAAATAAAATACAACTGTCAAACCACACAATGTAATGCAAATAAATGATTTGATTTGAAAATCATGAGGCTATTTTAATTACAGTGCTGTAGGTATTATAAATAAGGACATTGGGCAGAAAATCGCAGTAATGACAGTCCACAAATATTCTGCTGCAAAATGAAACTGAATTTTTATAAAAAGCATTTTCCTACGGCTTCGCTTAAACTTCTGTCACTCACACGAGACTTAATTTTGCACGTCCCCTTTAAAAAGCGGGTTAAGACTATCCTAAATAAATCAATCAAAATAAATCCTATAATTCGTATAATCTTTTACGTTCGCATTTGTAATACTTATTAGAATGGAAATAACTATAGAAAACCTCATCACGCTTGTGATTCTCCTTCCCCAGGTCGCGTCCTCCCCGGCGCCGCCCCTGAAGAGGGATCCCTCAAGGTCTCCGGCTCCTACTCCTACGTAGGAGACGATGGTCAGACCTACACCATCACCTACACCGCCGATGAGAACGGATACCACGCGGAAGGAGCTCATCTGCCCACCCCCCCACCGATCCCCGAAGCTATCCTGAAGAGTTTGCAGCTGAATGATGGCGTACGAGGTAAAAGATAAAACTTATCCCGTAAACCGGTACCCCCATAACTTGAGAGAGTTCCCCTATCTGCAACCCTCCCTGGGTTGCAGATCACTATGGCAGACCAAAAACTGCAAACGGAACTTTCATTGTAAACTGCAAATGATGATGATGGTAAGTAGGGCAGGAACATGGAGTTAATATAAATTCCAAGGTTACCAAAGAATTACTGATTCTAACAGTGACAATCAGACCAATCAGTGAAAATGACAACAGGCTTGTAATAAAACTACAAGCTTTTAGTAACACACGTAAGTTATTGCTTACACTTTAACTCAAGGAGTTTCAGAAAGGCTTGAGTGGCGCGAGTTACTGAATTAATTCAAATTTTCTACTTATAGGTATTTGTATTTGAAATGTGTACACATGAGAGAGCGCGTTTCCTATTATAAAGTTGTTAATATCAATGACTAATGACGTATTTTTATTTTATTTTTCAGAACACTACGACAGCCAAAAGAGCAGTTACGACGCCGACGCGGGATACTAGTTTCGTTCTGACTGTACCCCCACAGTACAGTCAAACACAGATTAATTAGTTATTTTTGTACATTTTTACCTTTTTTATTTAAATTGGTTTGTGGTTGATTGGACGTGATGGCCAGTATGTGTTCAAGTAGTCGTTACTGTTAACTTTTTATAATTAAATCTGTAAATATTTTTATTCAGTTGTTTATTTTTAACGAAAAATGTAATTTTAGTCCCCACTTCAGGAGCACGGCCCTTTCTAATTTACAACAGGCAAATGGAGGACTGATTCGACTCTACTTCTTTAGGTACCTAGTTATTGATAGGTTTATTCAAGTCAATTTATGAACAGCTTAAAGCCAATATTACTTGGCTTTATTTGTTAACAAAATGACCCGTTTCTATTGTTTTGGGGGAATGAAGAATTTGTTTTTAATAATACAACACCTACTAACGTCAGTCGACAAGAGCTCTTCTGCGTACTTGTACATAGATTCGTGTTCGATTACCCTATTTACTCGTACATTCACCGTTACTGAGTCAGTATCCTAAAATCACACATTATTAAGAACAAGCGGCAATAGCCTGACGTCAGATATCACTGGGCGTCATAATTGCAAGCCTCTATTCTGAATAGCTATATCGATGTAGAAATCGTAAATTTTTTACTTCTTCGGAAGAATTACGACGGTTTTAAGTACGACATATTTCGTTTCAACGGTGTTGGTTGATGGAAACTGGGCACTGTGTGCTCCTAGACAATCCAAAGTCCATGCTTGAGTTAGCGCAAAGAGCCGATATTTGTTTGGCCAAATCTGCTCTTAAATACTCAAGCTTTCTCACTCGCCAAGTAAAAAATAAAAGTTATGTGAGTGAAGGACACAGACACTCGCAGTAGAACCAAGTTCGACTATCAGAGTAGACTCCCCGATCACCGGCCTTGGGGCATAGCTGTGAATGCCCGCGTACCATTAACAATTCGACATGAGCGATATAACTTGGTGATGTAAAGGAATAGTGTAAGGTTTGTAAGCCAATGCATGCGATAACTCCAAGTCGATTCGTAACGCGGGTTCGAACCCCGCCGCCACTCGACTATTGTAGTAGACCCTCCACTCGTAACACAAGCATATTTAACTTATCACGAGGGATTAAAAACTATAAGTAAATGTTTGGCATTAATATTAGTTGATGCTTATTTTTTGTTACATAAACGTGCTCACTAACAAAAGCATTTACTTGCAAAAGGAAATACTTAACTGTGAGAGCTCGAAATAATATAGTTAATTAAGTCCAGCAATACTGCAACTAACTAAAATGATTATAAACCTTGATAAGCAGATACCAAATGATACCTACCATCGTATAATATCTAGTGACATCGGCACATTGCATCCTAATACAAAACAGAATATAATGTACGAGTTTTGTGATTACTTTTCACTCTCTATATTTCGTATTAGGTACCTATGTCTTGTAATAATTGAATACAGCGCTTACTTTAATAAAACCTTTGACTGTTGGTGTCAGAATTGATGATTTATCATATTTTGAACTCTACAACAAATACCTCCCTATGCCAGTACTTACGTAGTTTTAGTATCGCATCGCTTTATATTCTTAGTGAATCACAATCTCTTTCGATGTTGCACATTAATGATGTTTGCGGCTAAATTTTTGATGGTTCATCAAATTAGTATTTTTGATCTTGCCATTGACACTGAGATTTATTTTCATTACCAACATCAATATTGCACTTGAACTTATAAAATAAATAATGGCCCTTTAAAATAGTTTTCAAAAACTTCCGTAAATATTTAAAAAAATTTGCTAATAAGGTCATTCGACGAATTTTGAATCAATGGATCTATGCTCCAATTATTATGAAAATTTTTTATAATCAGTTTTATAATAGGTACTTACATCTACGAGCTTAGTCGATGCACACTACGTGTCATAATCATCATCATCATCATCGTCATTATCATCAGTTCATTCAGTCTTTACTTCAGAAGCACGCCCTACTCCAATTTACCAGCTACACTCCCCACGATGGCCAGACTGGTTCGGTAGTGAATTTGGGATGGGTCAAGGAGGCAACAGTGACTCGGTCGGCTACAGTGGCTCAGTCATGTTTCGACCTGAAGGCATAGGAATATATATTTGTCTCTTTTACCGATTCAATGGTCTTGGTACCCGAACACATTTAAACCAGTTTGCTCGCCGGTCAAGTGCCGTGCGGAAGGGTGAGGGAATGTTTTTTGTTTTCGCGCCCACTAAATTACATTCTAAGGTGAGTTTCGATTGTTTTCATATCTTTGTTTGTTGCTATAGGTAATAGCCGTTATATTTATCGGATAGTAGGTCTTGTATCAATTGTCTTTAATCCGAATTTTGACTAATTTGTTTTACATCTTGGTTTTTTTGAGCAAATATTTACAAAATGGCGTAGAAGTACACAGTGACTCAATTTTAATACTTTATACGAATTCAATATTTTATAACTTTAAATCGAATTTTGTTTTTTATTTACAGAATGCCACGGAAAAAAACCGACAGAAAAATAGGGAAGAAATAAATAACGAAGAGATTGAGATGACTTAAGATCTTATAGGTAGCAATAAAAGTACTAAGAGTCGTGTTGAATTGTTGATTATAATAAGAATAGCTTGTGCAGTTTTGTTATTATTTCTAATAAAAAACTACGCGGAATGGGCATTTTCTTTTCATATAAATACTGCCGTACCACGTTAATACTGTGTACCACGGTAGTGAGTCAGTGTGTACACCTAGTAGTCCACAGTGGCTCAATTATCATTTTTTTGTTTTAGGTTCCTACTTTGACATAAGTAGTAAATAATGTAGAATCATGAGTGCTCAGTTACAGTTCAATAGTGTATCTAAAATGTGAGCAAATTTTAGGCCAATATTAAAGCGATATCTATTTTTATTAGGCTTCGAAAAAAAAGTGAGTCACTGTTGCCTCCCTGACCTAGTTTTTGCCCGCGGCTTCACCCGCGAAATTTAGTTTGTCACATATCGTCATAAATTATAGCCTATAAAATATGTTAATCTGGATTATGAACAATGTAATACTGTGAAGTTTCAACAAAATCCATTCAGTAGTTTTTGCGTGAAAGAGTAACAAACATCCAGACATCCTAACTTTCGCATAATTCGCATTTATAATATTAGTAGGATTATTAACCCCTAAATTAGGCTTCTAGTGAAAATGTATCATAGTAATCAAGTACCTACTCTTTTAATGCCCATGTTTGTACAAAATCATCCAACTACGATTTCATAGGCAAAGATTTGCCATTTAAATCAATTACAATCGAAGATATTCTCCGAACCGAGAATTAGTGATTCGTTCCTTGAAATCATGATTTATACGAGCATGATTTAAACATGGCGTCATGATAGATACTATGATATTTGTAAGCCATGACATTGTTAGGACTAAATCATAGACTGTAGGTCTAGCTACCTATATGAAGCTTACAAATCATTTGACGTAATTTTTATAGTGGATTTGACAAATTACTCTATTTGACATTTTATTTTCATCCAAATCTGTCTAGTAATTTTTGCGTGAAGGAGTAACGTTACAAACTTTAGCGTTAATAATATTTTAAATATAGCAATTGACGTCTTAACTGGGACAAAATTCTAATTAAATACATCATTATTCATTCTGTAGGTAGGTATGATTACATTGTGGTAAAAATACTGAGCCGCAAACTAAAGCAGTAAAGCAGGAAAACTGAAATAATTAAGTAATATTGTAGTATTTTTTTTATCAAGACATATTGTATATTTATTATTTTCTTCTTAGTGACATTTTTAAAGGCTAATATTTCCCTCAGGTCTATACTAATTTTATAAAACTGAAGAGTTCATTTGGTTGAACTCGCTAATATCAGTAACTACGAGTACTTCCGATTTGAAAAAAGCATTTATCGAGGACAGCTATAGGCTATACACCATCACACTACAACCAATAGGAGCAGAGCATCAATGATAAATTTTGTGAAGACGGGAAAAAAAATTAATACCATTTTACAATAAATAAGGTAATATGAAATTCCTTGGGGGAGACCTTTGTCCAGCAGTCAGTGGACATCATTGGGCTGAACTGAAAGAACGAACGAATAATAGGTACAAAATCAATTACATATTTGAAAATCATATAAATACTTGAAAAAATCGAACTGCCTAAGGCGGGAAGGGCGGAAGAGCAGTCGCCCGGCAAGCGAAAGGTCGTGGGTTCAATTCAAATTTCAATTTTTTCAAGTTATTTATAATTTTCAAATTAGTTTGAGATGCGACTCTTAACGCTAAAAATTTAATAATTACAATATATTTCATTTAATCATGCATTCTAAATATTACAAAAATCCATTAATTTTATCACTGCGGTAGTTAAAAATAAGTGTTATCGGGCTCACCCCGCCAGTCTAGCTTAGACTCTATCAGAGCGCTAAAATTTGTCAACCGAGAGTCAAGGTTGAAAGATAAATGCATATTTTTGTAACCTACATTGCGATTAGTATACATGTTTTCTGAATATTCAGTTCCGCAAGTCAAAATGTTTTTACCTAAACCAATTGACCCGGCGAACATGTGCCTACTTATAAATGCGAGATTGCTAAAATATTCTCTAGGACTTCATTTTGGTAAGGCTATAGTTCTTATCTATCAGGGATGCTAGATCGAATGATCCTATTATCGGGAGAAAGAATATGATTTTGGAACTTAGGTCGGGAAAAACAATAAAACCAACAACCGAATGCAATAAATAGATTGCAGTGGTGAAAAGATTTTCATCAATAAAACCTTGTTAGCCAAGGAGGCACTGCCCAGCAGTCTATGTACGCCACAGTCAATTAATTAATGATTTATGAGATTACACTATTTCAGTATTCATAGAATGAGTTCCAGTTGTCCCAGTTTACCACACAAAGACACATGAATATGATTTTTCATTTGCTGTTCTAGTTCAGTGACGTCTAGCATCACTGCAACCGGTTTCGGTCTATTGTGATCGCTTTAATCCTGCATATTTTTAATAGAGAGGCATCATTTGGAAGGCTTGTCCTGTTGCACCTCTTCTCTCTTCGTCTAAGCCTTGAGTGCCAACGTGTGGTTTAAAAAAACTCATTTTTGCAAATAGGCTTTTGAAGAGCACTTTTACACGTCCCAGTATTAACCCTACCACTGCTTCGGGACAGTAAATGGGCCAGTGCTGAGAAGAAGCAGCGCAAGAAACTCAGTCACTATCGATGTTAATACAGTTTTCCGTGTGAGGTCCTTCAGGAATAATACTACACGATTAACGTCAAGCTCTACAAGTTTTATTTGAAAGAGAGGCTTTCAAACACTGTGAAAGTTAACAGATCTTCTAAAATGTACTGGGTAATGGGTACACATGTATACGAGTATCTTCCATGCAATTCTGAAAGTTATTGTTTGACTTAAGATCCTATGTCCCCTAGATGGGGCAGAGGGCGTCCACAACAGTCCTCCATCGCGTTCGGTCTTGAGCTTCGCGTTTGATCTCGCTCCAAGTCTTGCCGATCTTCTTCGCCTCGTCTGCCACAGTGCGCCGCCAAGTTTGCTTGGGGCGACCACGTTTGCGTTTTCCTTGGGGGTTCCAATCCAGAGCCTGCTTGGGGGGTTAAAAAGTTATTGTTTTCCCGAATCAATTACAAGTTTAAGACGTTTGATATCCCTTGGAACTACCGGACCTGTTGAAACATAATGCAAGGTTTCATCAGAAGCCAAGGGCTGTACAGGAGTTGGACAAATGGGAACGAGATGAAGAGGTTCTGTATCCGAAAGTATTGACCTTGCGGTAATTCAAACTATTATTACATTATCTACAGTTACTTGGTTTACAGACACACTTTTATTACGTACTTACAAGACAGTCTTATTTTTTGTCTGTATGTTGAACATATATTTTTCCTTTTGGCAATGTTTAGTCATTTTAATTTATAAGCTATCTCAGTCATTATTAAAACTTCAACTATATCATTGATTTATATTTATTAAAAACTTATCTGATCCACGCATTTTTATTTCATAAATAAAGTCTAATGCAATAATACTGCGAAAGTTTCAAATTGTTGTTAATACTTAGGCCAAACGATTGGTCACGCGTGTTCATTGCAAATTGAAAACTATTGGCTCAAAATAACCTTCATAATTAGGTAAATTGGAAATAGCATTAATCTAGTATTCTAAGTTATTTTAGTACAGGGAAACACAAATCAAAATACTTAGGTCACCCAGTTATCACCGAAAATATTTATGTCACTTACAAACAATACAGGCACAGGAAAACCCGGGTGATCACAGTAGTATACAGTCTGTGCCAAATGGGACCACGTTAGTCCAACTTTAGGCATTGAGTCGTTCGGGTCAGATGGCTAAAGCTTCACTTATTTTAGTATTTAGTGAAGTGAAAATGTAACCTTTTTTTTGTAATTTTATAGTTTTTTATTGAAGTGGTTTATGTTTGTGTTTTTTTTTTAATGTAGAGCAGTGAGACCTTAATTTATAATGAGGCTGTGTTTAATGTTAAGTGTTCTGCTTTTGCATGGAAGCTTTTCTGATGTAAGTTTAGAAATGTTTTTTTTTATAGCATGGTTTTACGATGACTACAAACTTTTTAAAAGTCTTTCGATAAACTCTACCTTTTTTTGTAGATTTTCTGGTCGCTTCTTGAAGATTTTAATGAATTTTACGAAACTTTGTAAATATAACCGCGAAATGCAAGAAGATAAAACATGTAGGTAGGTATTAATTAATTCGGCGAACTATGCGTTATCTTTGACATTAAATTATATGAACTAACATTGTATTATAATACCTATTTTCACGTTTGAAAACATAAATTACTAAATACAAATAAGATACATAGAGTAAATGACTGTTATCCTTCAGGATTCAGAACAATGTCAGGTATCTTTGAGGGATAGAGTATGTCACCAGGATTGTGTGTGATTTTGGTTACATACAACACACAGAAATACCAAGTAATGTAGATTCTAGCCAAACTGGAAACAAATAAATCATTTTACACTATGTACGCCACCTGGGAAGCGAACCCCGAACTTCCAAGGTTCAACTCTAACCACTGAACTATGGGGGATTAAACATTAATTGCTTACACACAAAAGCCCTGTTCTTAAGGAGGTCATCGACCTGAGTTTACTTGCATCTGGTGCAACTAAAGCGCATGCGTGAACTTGCATAATGACCGCGAATATTCACATCTGCTAAACTTGGCTGTTAGAATCTCAAAGAACTGCATGTGTTCTAAATTCAAAATGGTTTTATACGTCAAACATGCATTTGTTTTTTTGCTTCCCTAAGTTCGTTTTTTTTTTCTATTAAATATGGCTTCGTGCGGGTTGCACAGCCAGAGTCATGTTTATAATAAACAAGTAAAAAAAGATTCAATATAGTTTTGTCAAAGACTCCGATGGAAAACTTTCGTTCGCTAGGGAGATCCGCGTGCAATGCGGGATTACTAATGTTTGGCNATACCGTGCAATGCGTCCCTTGTCGATATAATGATAAATAGTGAATGAATGATAGAATGAGACTTTTCCTCGAGTTTCAGTTAATATTAGACATTTTACTGTGTCTTCGAGTGACTAAGCAATTTTTGGTTGCATATACCTTATGCCTATAGGGGAACCTGTTGTACTTAGGCCAGTTTTTCGAATTTTGATTTTTTGGAAAATAATGGTGATAGTTAAACTTGTCTAGTGCAGTTATATTTAAAGATCATTTAATTAACTACATAATTCATTCATAAAATTGTGTATAATTTTAAAAATTTGGGCATACTAGCTGCTAGAAAAAAAAAGGGAAAACTGTCCTAGGTACAACAAACCAGATGTACCTTGGACCGTGTACGTTGTACCTATTTAAATTGAAATAAATGCTTATATTCGCTTCAATTTGTTAATTTTCTGTTAAATTATTATTTGAAATACCAATTATTACAGTTATTAGCAACAATATCTAAGTAAAAGTATTTTTTAAAAAGATCCTCATCCATATTTTTTGTACTAATTATTTTTCACAATTTTTTGCCCACAAATCACTTAAGTTTAAGCCGGGTCTCCAGTCCATGTTTAACCTTACACAATCAACAAAAATATGACAATATTCAACATTTTTTCTAGAAAATTTTGTTGAATGTTGATATGTTATGTCGTGTAGGACAAAATACGCGCTGGAGTGGCTTTAACTTGCAATCTAGTTTTTTTTATTTCTTATCATTTAACATAAATTCTAGCAAAATATCCATTAAAACCGCTTTATCAACAAAAATAATCTTAAAAAAGTCATATGAAGATACATTAAACGTAAATTTAAAAAACATTAGAAATAAAAAAAATATATATCAAAAACAGACTTTAAATTGCTATTTTGAGGTCTTCGGGGCATTGTATCTATAACAGTATAATATGTTTTTTTTATTACAATAAAATTCTCATTAAAAGTAATGAAAATCAGTGACCAAGGTACATCGCTAGTTGGGTGGTCAAGGTACAACATTGCGACTACTTCACTTAATAAGTATAATAAACCCACTTCCATTTGAGCTTAGGATCTGAAACTCATATCGTCCAGTAGCTAGATATATAAAGATTATGTTGTAACTATAACCGTTTTGTCAAACATGCAACATTTTTCATAAATTGTCATGAAGTAAACCTCCAAAAACTCACTGCGTCAGTGTAAAATATTAAATTACCATTTTTTCTTGTACTTGCACGGCGTCGGCGAATCTTAGCTAACTTCACGTTAATGTTGACAAATAACGTATGTAATACCCTAGACAACTTTTCATAAAACCGCATAATTTAAAAAATATATACAATTGTTTTAGGTACAACTCTGTCCAAGGTTCAACAGGTTCCCCTACTCATACAATAGGTACATGACCACTTAATAGTTCGTAAATAATCTACAATTTTCACATTAATTTAACATTTATTTGAAAGAAAAAAGTTTCTGTCAAACATGACGTTTAACTTTCCCGCCAAGTCTATCAAATTCATGTGCCAATATCCTAGATACGCAATGGGTTTTTTTTCTCCGTAGCTAGCTACTTGAGAGACAATTGGGTTATTGGCACCGCCAGTCAATTGACATACTTTTAGATGATTTTTAGTTCTGTCAGGACTCAAATTAAGGTCATAATGACCATCATTATTTGCTTACTCGATTAATTAAATTAATTTAGGTCTTGTCTCGAAGTTGTGATAGGTACTTATAAAGTTTAATGTGAGCTTTTTATACGAATATTAAAAATGTCAATTGTTAATATTTCCTATGAAGCCACGATAGCCGAACGGTGAAGGGGTCGCACTGACCGACTCGTGATCCGGGGAAACCCGGTTCGAATCCCGCCGCCGCTCGACTATTGTGGTGAGACCACTCGTGACACAAGCTTAATTAGCTTAGTACGAGAGGCTAACGGGACTATTAGTAATATGTGCAATACATATTACTAATAATCTTAAAAAAAAACTAAAGACTAATTTAGTGACGTCATTTCTCAGACCCACGAAACAATGTGTCTCTTACGGGATTCGATCTCGAAACTTTTGTAGTGCTAAGAAAAGCCTTTGATTGACTGTATCAGAAATATAAGAATGCCACTTCTAAAGCAGGCATATCGAATTTGAGTCATCATGCAACGGTGAATAATACAAACATTGGCATATTGCTGTATTTGTAAATGGCAGACACATTGATAGTTATCATGGTCGCGAATTCGAACACAAGTAGGTGCGTCTTTAGGTATGATAATGGGCAAAAGATAGTGTTTTGAATTTTTAGCTTAAGACTTATCTAGGAATAGATCTCTTGTAGTGTTTTGGCTATCATGAACTAAGACAATAATAATATCGCAGTAAGTAGGTAGGTACTTAACATTTTTTTAGATTTTAGCAATATAGATTACTTACTCCAAGAACGTTGAATGAATCCGCCATTTGCAGAACCTAACCCAAACACAATGGGAAAAGGCACAGAAGAAGAAGAAGAAAATTATAGAACCTATCCGAACCTTTTAAACAGCATATTTTTCTTTCAGGGCAACCGACCAAAACTAAGAAACTCCAAAGAGTCTTCAGTAGAATACTTCACGCGACAAAAAAGTCATTTAACAATACCAATCATGATGCACTTCGATAAATCCCTAACCGACAAACTAGTGAAAGAACACAAGATCAAAACCAGAAAAAAGCTGAAAGATATATCAAGGAATATCCTAAAAGAGGTGGAAACGTACTTCAGGCACCAAAGTCTGAACCATAGCATACATTTTAACTTATTAGATACAAAATTCGTAAAGAAAAATAAGCTAGAAATGGACGAAAATGGATCGAAATACTTGAAGAATTACTGCACGAAACAAGGACATAAGAAGAAAGAGAGTAGAAGATGGTGGTTCTCAGTCCTTTTGACAGGAATGGATTTGTTTTATCTAGATAAGAATGGGCGAGAAATCAGGAGTAGTACAGGTAATTTTGAATCTTATGTAGATAATTTAAATCATGCTTTGTAAATTGTCCTGCCAATTTGATGCTGTGGTCATACCACGGAATCAAAATGCAATAGAACATTTTGTCAGTTTTTATTTTGTGTCTCGTATCCCACGGATCTTAGAGACCTGAAGCACAGAATAAGTAATAGTACAGGTACCTGAAGTTCAGTAGATAACCTCAAAAAACTTTACAAACTTATCAATAAATGAGCTTACAAAGTAGTGTTCTTAATAATCAATTTCGTTGAGGGTCCACTAACAGTTTATTCTCTTGGGACAAACTTGACTTTCACTGGTTGGGTTTATATTGGCGGTCAAGCTGTTGATCCTGGCTACTCAGTAGTTGCAGCGGTGGGTACGAGAGGTGGGAAGACCTTCTAATAAATGGTTTGTGTAGATAAGGTCTATTTTAAACACTTGCTATCGGGCCTACACCAAACTCTGTATAAACGAGCTATCAGTACAAACCAATTTGATACTTTGTGCCTACAAAATTTCACGCTCAATTGCCTGAATTATGTCTCAAACAATGTTGAAATGACCTAGAAGCCACGATGATTAGGCATACAAAAAGCTGTAACTGGAAATAGAAATGGCGTCGGTGCAAATAGGGTTGCCAGATGGTCGAGATTTTGCGGGATTCCCCCGATTTATTGTATGTTCTGACTCTCCACAAAATCCAAAATCTCCCAAAAATCTTTCTTTTCAACCGACTTCAAAAAAGGAGGAGGTTCTCAATTCGACCCGTATGTTTTTTTTTTTCTATGTTTGTTACGCGATAACTCCGCCAATTATGAACCGATTTGAACAAATCTTTTTTCTGCGTATAGGTAATACCTCAAGGGTGGTCCCATTTAAATTTAATAATAGAAAAAACAATCCCCAAGGGTGGAAAATTGGGGATGAACTTTTTTATACGCAATATCTCCGCCGATTATAAATCAATTTGAACGATTATTTTTTTGTTGAATAGGTATTAGTGAGTCAGTCAGTGAGTGACAAAATTAAGTAACTTTGACCCGTTATAATTCTTAAACTACTGGTTCAAATTGAATGAAATTTTAAATATACCGTGTCTTTACAATGCCTGCATAGCTAATGAAAATTCAGCCTTCTAGTTTTATCCACAACGAAGTTACAGGCGGTCGAAAATGGCCTGAATTGCTTCGAGAAAAGGATGGTACGGCCGTGCCGCTTTTTTGCTCGACTTGGTGGGGGCACTGCCGTGCCCCCAGATCTAGCATGACCATAAATGATATTACAGAAACAGACTAATGTAAGCTAATTAAGTTCACACTTTATAACTTTACTAAATAGTAAATTTTAGTAAATTAAAGTACCACATCAAGCTAAACAAAATGACATCATTATGTACTTACACCCGTATTCACAAACATTACTATGAGGTCTCACAGTGCGCGTGAACGCACAGGGTCACATGCGAACCAATCACAGAGCTCTATTCAACGCTGTGCGTTCGATTTGCTGCTTTACTTAAGCAAGCTAGCCGTTAAGCTAGCACCCATAACACAAGCATTAAGTTGCTTACTTTGGGGCTAGCTGGCGCTGTGTGAAATTGTGCAAAGATTTATAAAAAAAAGCATCGTTTGTGAATACGAACGTTAGTCTTGGGGTGATTTTGCAGCAAAAATGTATGGTTTGATGTGCTGTCAACTGTACCTAATCCAAATTATTATTATTTTTTCAGGACGAAGCTATATGGGAGGTGTTTGCGCTTTAGACAAGAGCTGCACTGTGCTAGAGTGGAATCCGAAAAATATTGGATATCTTCTTACACATGAAATAGGCCACAGGTAGAGTTTATAGCTTTTATAAAACATGGACAAAGAAATTATAAGATACTAGGCACACAGCCTTAAATTGTTACACTTCTCAAATACTTGTTATTGATACCTTTATTTTAATTTAATTTACCTTCTAAAACTCTTTATTCCTTACTTAAATGTGTCATTGCTTTTTACTTAAACAGTGTTATCAAGTATTATGTAGCAGCAAAATATTTTTGGATGGCCATATCCACTTCTATTTAAGTAAGTTAAAACGAAGAATTCAAAAACTGAAAATTAGTTAAAAGATGATCTTTATATCTGATCATTATAGACTACCGCATGATAAACATTTTTCAATAACATTCTTCTAGCCTCGGCATGTCACACGACGGAGCACCCCACAACGACTGCCGGCCTCATCGGTATATCATGAGCAACAAGTACCACCCCCGGTACCACCCTAAGACGTGGTCTGGATGCAGCAAGAAGGATCTCCAACGGTTTCTTCTGTACGTATATCTTTCTTTTGAACTCCTCCTATGTTTTACTGATTAATTTCGCTGCGAGTCCAACAACTGTTTAACTTTCCCCGGGACAAAATTGACCTCCATTGATTGGGTGGGTTTTTCTCTTCCTCAAATGCTCTGCTATTCGAATATTATTAATATTTTAAAATATTTCTTAAAAATCTAGTTTTACATAATAGGAGAATATTTTTATTTTCCAATGTCAATGGTTCACAACGAAAAGTTGTAGGAGAAGTAAAGTTTTAAATTCTCTTGTTTGGTTTCAGGAGCAGAAAAGCTTGGTGCCTTAGATAGCATTTCATTTCTGCCAGATGATACATCACACGTTTTTCCTATAACACAATCACAATTCTCGAACGCCTTGTGTTTTATTTGCCATAAACTCCCATCCCGTAACAAGTTAGTTGGAAATATTTTTATTTGTTTACCGCAAGCTGTTGTATCTCAATGAATTTGCTCATGAAGTTTTGACAGTATAGTACCATTACAGTATTTAAATTCAATGATACAAGGCATTCATTCTTTATTTAATTAAGTGGAATAAATGAAATAATTGTGGGACGCCTTTGTCCAGCAGTGGACGTCATTCGGCTGAAACGAACGAAGGAATATAAGGAAATATTCGCATTTTTTTTCTTAATATCTACTTTAAGCAGTTTATTGTTGCCTCGTTATAATAAATGCTTATGTTTTAACACATTTTTTATTGAGTAAAAGATACCTGAAATTATGCGCTAATTATTGCAATTTATATCTCCCAGCATGGTTTCAGAAAAAAACTCGCCAAGTTACCGCAATGACTCTGTAAGTAGATCTAGACCGAGTCTAGACAAGACCACAAAAAGGTCTATTGCGTAACCAACCACCTACAATGAATGAACTGATGATAACGGAACCGCAATACTAAGGACTTTCACTTCGGGGCATGACTTCGGAAGTAAAATAATTATGGTCACAGCTTCTATGAAATTCTGAAAAACCCTTATTATTAATCCTGTAGCCCTTTAGAAAATTACTTAGTACTCAAATGATGAAAAACTATAAAGAGATTGAATGATCACAGATCTTTTCATCGACAGGGTATAACATTTCTTATTCGTTCTCTTTTTTTATTTTGTGGTATACAATGTATATGTTACGGCTAAAGATAGGTGTGAACATAAACTTAAGATTAGCCGGCTAAACTTAAGTTTATCTTCGACGAGGTGTTAATGTTAGTTTTTTTCTATCTTTAGCCGGCTAAACTTAAGTGTAATTAAACCGCAGATCCTTGGCTAAAAATGTAGAAGGAAATGGAAAAGTAAACAATGTAATAATGTTTACTATTTCGACACGAAAACTTTATTAAAAAATAATCACTTTCATTACACATACTTTTATGTACCTATGTAGGTATTAAAAATTACAATTATTACAATAACAAAATATTAATTACTCAAAACAATATCTACCTAATCATTAAAATAAAATAATAAGGATCCATTTGGTCATTACAGAATCTTCTGTAGGTATTTAAAATTACAAAATAAAACTGCGCGCGCGTTGTCTCCCCACCGCCCCCTCAAGCCCTCTGTCGGCCTGGCGCGCCTGGCCTGGCCTTTCGTTTTGACTAATGTGCACATTAGCCGGCTAAAGATGGAATATCACGACGCAAACTAACATGTTATCGAACTTTAGCTGCTTCTCGAAGATAAACTTAAGTTTAGCCGGCTAATCTTAAGTTTATGTTCACAACTATCTTTAGCCGTAACATATACAATAAAGTTTGTTCTATCTATCTACACCATAATAACCTTAATTCAAAAAGCTATTTAGGAAATCCAGAATAAGAATGGCCATGAAAATCATTCATGATGTCCCCTACGAACCCAATCAATGCTAGAATATACCTACACTAAGGTCAGTATTCACTCAACGGGACTAAGCAGTGAACTCTAAAGACAAGGGCTGCCACAATAGATCAAACCTGGTCGAGTTGGCGCAAATAAAGGCCCAAAAACCAATAATAAATAAAAAAAAAGGTCAGTATTGCAAAACAACGCTCTATTACAAGATTATGCCCTATGATTGGTCTAAATATATAAATTCACCAAATCATAAGGCTTCCCGCGCATCAGGCAGCCTGGCTGTGGCAGCTAATCCAGTATGAACACTCTTGGCTGTCTAGAGCCCGGGCTCCCATACAAAAAAATCAAAATCTAAAAAGACGTTCCGCAATACTTACATTATCTAAAATCAAGATAAATACACATTACACCAATAAACTCAGCACTTTTACAGCCGTGCCACTTTTAGCAGAAAGTTCGCAAGTTCCATTGTTCAAGACGTATAAAAACAATGCGTCTGAGGAAAACATTTAATTGCGCATCTCGGATGTCAGACGCTCCATTAAATTGGACATGACTTTCGCCGCGTGCGCACCCCAGCATGAACAATTTGTAACATTTCATAATCAAATTCGGGCCACGCGCCTACGCAGGCCAGGGGACAGGCGTTTTATTGTTGAAATATCAGCAAAATTTTTGCATGGCTTTTTAAAAAATTGTACCCATTCTACACTTTGAAGTTGCGATTTCTCCAAACTCATTCGTAAGTGACTTTTTAGAGTTTTGAAATTTTCTAACAAATTATGAAATTAATACAAAAAAAAATTTGAGAGAATCAGTTGGTAAGTAATCCAAAATATGGTATATGTAAAAAGTTATAAGTAATCCAAAATATAATATTATGTAGTTCAGGTAAAAAGTTTTGTTGCTATGTAGAGTTTATAATCAACATTTTGTAGATGATTACGATCGATTTCATTCGATTTGTTCGTGTATTTGTTGATAATGCAACCAATAATTCCAAGGCTCTGAAAATTCAATTAAGATAATTAACTTCAAAATAAAACTTTTGGATGTTTTGAAATCCATAGGTTAGTTGATTGAGTTGACGAAAAAGTGTAGACTTCACTTATGTAAAATAACTTCACTCTATCCCCAGGTCTAAGAGCCCATAACTCCCTCAATAACCATTTCACACCACTATTCCAAATGATATAGAGTCCAAATTCGCACAAGCTCGTAACAAATCTCTATCATTTGAAATAACACCATATTAGTATTCGTGCAGTATACAAAACTGAAAGTTCTTGGTTTTATAGCGAAAGTGCAAGAAAGAGTGAAATTTTTAAGTAGATGTATTAAAGTCTTATACGTGACTTTTCAATGGCTTAAAAGTAACGAGTCTAAATAAAATGTGTCTATATTAGTTTAGACTAGTTGCTGCTCGTAGCTTTGCTTGCATAATGTACTAAGTTTGTCAAAATAAATAAAAGTAATTGTGACGTGACAACTACGAAGCTTCCAAATGTAGATTTTGTAATAAAAATTAATTGTAAATAATTAATGCTTCTGAATTAATTGTAATAAAAAAATATAATACTGCCAAAAAGCATTATCATGAAATTACTGAATTATTATGTTTTTCACGCCAATTTTCATTTGCTAATTCACCCACTCTAATTTTCTATAAATTAGTTCTATAAGTTCACCCAACAGAGAGACTTACACCTACAGACTGACTTTTGTATAATAGGATTGAAGTAGGAATCTGCACTTAACTACATATCAATCAATTTATTAGCGGATGAAATAATAAATCAAAATAAAGACTTATAATTGCATTATTAATAGAATGCAACTTTTATGTTGCTTTGAGGCAATTACTCTTAGAAATGTGGTTAAGAGAAGATATATCAATTAGTTACGGTAAGATAATAATAATAATTCACAAACAGACATACTAAATTGTCTTATTAATATGGAAGAGCAATTTTGTAAAAGAATTCGAGATTTATGATATAGATAGGTAGTAAAACATTGGTAGGTTTATTAATATTGTAGGTACGCTATTACACTTACGCCCGTATTCACAAACGATGCTTGCTTAAGTGAAGCAGGAAATCGAACGCACAGCGAATAGAGCTCTGTGATTGGTTCGTGTGTAACCCTGTGCGCCCACGCGCACAGTGAGACCTCATAGTAATGTTTGTAAATACGGGCGTGAATAATTTTTTTTCCATAAACTTAGCATAAGAGAGGTAATTTGAAAATGAGGTCTTATTTTTTTTTTATTGATTGTTTCTTTTGAAATATTACAAGTTTAATAAAATGCACAAAATGTAAGGTTGTATTGAGTTGGTAGCAACAAGCCCTTTCTACAGCCTTGCTTATCGATGCGTTACGATTTACAGTAATGCTTTTGTCTTTTAAAGTAACCCTACATCAGCCAACGGTGTCTATAAAGCCAATGCACTTTTCTTCGTTTAAATGCACATTTAATTATCCCTACGAATAGTTCATACAACCCTAAGCCTTCAATGCTAAAAATGCATATTCTGGGTAAGCTCGCTCTATCATGCATGCTCGCTGATCGTAGGCGCTGCCCGCCGAAATGTATGAGGCATCGGCGCCGAGCAATCAGCGTCACGTTTCCTTTAATTACATACATTATTGATCTGTCAGCGCCGACGATCTATTCTAAAACCAACCTCACTGATTGGTTAAATTGCGTATCGACTAAAATAAACATAAAAAAGATTCCATACAAAATTGCAAACATAGTCACAACATACGAATAAGAAGTTTTGCCCCAAGTAAAACGAACGACGAAATTTTGCTTGCGGTGAATGAAAATATAGGAAAAAAGTCGACCGGAATTTTTTATACAAGAAAATAAAAATATCGGAAAATTCATCTGAACAATTACAGATAATTTTCAGTATTATTCTGACTGATAAACTCAGAAAAAAATCCGCATAGACACACCTTATGGGCAAACACATCCTGAGCCGACAAGATGTAAAACATATCGCCCCCCAAAAGATACTGAACTGCCTAATGGATGCAGGACTCGGAGGCGAACTGTAAGGAAAACAGCGGCGATCACAATAGATCGGCACCGGTCGCAGTGATACTAGGACTTTATTGAACTAGAATAGCCGCTCAACTCAAATAAAAAAATTAGACCTCACAATCCTCGCTCGTAGCAGGCACTCACAGGGTTAACACAGCTAATTGTCTTTTGTTATTAATTAACTCATTATAAAACAGAATAACGGCACCGCTTTGTTCGCGAGTGTGCCAGTGGGGCAGTTTGTGGTTACAAAGGATTTAGTTAAACTGGAGAAAATAAATTATTTTCATGTGTTTTCATTAGAAAGATGTCAATTAAAGCCAGTAAGAAATTGTTATCTCTTTTGCGATATAATTTGAAATAAGATGGATTGTACGTTATACTGTTTTATGAGCAACTGATCTAATAGACAGGCATGAACTTTAAACAAACGGAACGCCTCCTGCTCGATGAACCGATGACCTTAAGAAGAGGTTGGATGAAAAAGATGAGATTGCACTGCAGTGATCTTTGGACCGATTTTGAATTTTAAATAAGAATCACTCAAAAATAAAACTCACCAATCGGTGTAGATTTTTCAGTAAAACCCTTCAGACAAATTGCCCTTTATTTATTTTTGTTTTCTTATTAGTGGTCAAACTATAGGCTCCTGGATCCTGGCTACAGAACTTACATTGGAGAGAAAGAAATGACAGAACTTATTTTAAACCAAACTAAACAGTTGCTGATTTGTTTTATAAACACTTATGTAACCTGCCCCATACTTGCTCCAAACCAGACGTCCCATACAAATGGTTCTGCCCACAAAAAGCAAAGAACATTAATTGTGCGCATTGGCAATAGTAAACAGTGAAACAACGTATGCTACAGTTCCGCCTCGGTTGCTGCCTCTCTCGCGTGGAAGAGCACAGAGGTGGCGTAGAGTCTCTACATCATTGTGTTGTCGTAAATAAAGCCTACACATTTTTTTTCATGCGGTTGGATGGGAAAAAATGGGACTTTATACGATGTTACATACTGGTTTACACTTCATAAGACATATCCTAGGACTACAAAAAATCGGTCCAGAAGTTCTAGAGTTTTACACTTGGCTACACGTTTATGGATTCATTGTAATGTACTTGTCTTGTTGGATACTTTTGTCTACTGTGTTTTTAGTAAGAAAATACCTAATTATTTTATTCCTCAAAACATGTAGAGTGATATTACGGATGATGTGCTGTCGTCCTAAATTAAATGTAAATTGTAGAAAATATTATTATGAAAACGTAAAATTGTTAAATTACTACTTTTTTTTATTAAGGAAACCTTGATAAAGATCTGCCGCCGCTGTGGTCTTCAGACGCAGAGGTCCCGGGTTCGATTCCCAGTGGGGGCATATTTTTCTGTTCGGTTTGGTTGGTGGTAGGGCTTATTCTAAGTCCGCCTGGCTAGCTACCACCATCTTACCTAAGTCTGTCGCCATAACAACAATGTTAACAGCATTGTTGTGTTCCGGCAGTTAGAGGTAAGATAGCCAGTTCCTCCGTGGTTGAGGATTCCGGGTGAAGCTCGCTTCCACCTTCGGCATGATCGTCACTTACCATCAGGTGAGGTACAGGTCAAGAGCTTCCTTGTTATGGATAAAAAAAAAGAAAAAAAAGATCAATAAGTCAGTGATACTGCCAAAAAAAATATTACAAATAATTTTATACTGCAGTCTCTACGCCGGTCTATAGTCCCCAGCAATACAGATCGCATTCGATATGTCACACGTGTCTGTCCGTTCCATTGTAGGCCTTTCTCTACGGGATTTTTCTATGTCTTCCAACACCATTGTTCATGGGGTGGCGAAAGTGTAGGTTGCGGAATTGCGTGCAAAAAGATGCATAATCAAAAATCTAAATCTTTATTTAGAATGTAGACCATTTTCAGGGCACTTATACACGTCCCGTGACGATGGCCGTTGGGGCAGAAAAGTTATCGAGTGGCGACCACGGGCTGGAAGACGTAGCGTGGGCAGGCCTCCTACTAGGTGGAACGACGATCTGGCAATGGTCGCGGGAAGAAACTGGATCGCGGGCAACGCAGGACCGTTCATTGCGGAAAACCATGAGGGAGGCCTTTTTCCAACAGTGGACGTCATTTGGCTGAAACGAACGAACGATACACGTCCCAAATACAGCTTGACTTAGCACCGCTTCGGGACAACATATCGGCTGGTGCTGCGAAGAAAGTGGTGGATGAAACTCATAAGTTTACGAAATTAATTTTTGCAGGAAATATAATGTAGCGCTCAACTGTATGTTTAACCAAGGAAAACTTTTATGTAGAGAAAGATTACTTTAATACTTTTTTTTACCTATAATTCTAAAACATAACAAATACATAAAAAATACCATGTAACATCAATTCACAAACAATGTTGTTTACACAGAATCCTAAAACATTAAGTCAGACTTTAAAAAAATATGTCATTCAAATTTGAATGATCAAACGAACTTACCAAGTGAAGTTCGATCTAAATTATCCTGTTTTCGCCGAAGAGATTTATTTTACCATGTAGTACCCCTGTACGACAACCCAATCCGCACACAATATTCAGCGTAGTAGTATTAAAAAACAAAAGAGCGGGCAACCCTACCCCTACCACGCTGTGGGCTCGGTGTCCGAGCGGTCTCATNCAACTTAAAAATAATTACGTTTTTTGTCGGTAAAAACGTCCTGGTGACGTCACTTAAGCATTTTTCTTATACTGCGTGCGGTCGTTGCGCGTGCGCACAAAGGAATGAGACCGCTCGGACACCGAGCCCACAGCGTGGTAGGGGTGGGGTTGCCCGCTCTTTTGTTTTTTAATACTACTACGCTGAATATTGTGTGCGGATTGGGTTGTCGTACAGGGGTACTACATGGTAAAATAAATCTCGGAGGCGAAAGCAGGATAATCATGCACATAAATGTTTGTAGTGTGCGGGTATCGAACCCGCGACCTCTGTCATCTGAACTCTTTGCATTACACTTATTCTATTCTATTGTTGTAATCGTCGTCAAGTGCTTTACGTACCTATTATACAATTGTACATTACGTAAGTACATAATATATAAAACGAAAACCGCATTACATTATGTCTCTACCTAAATAAACTACATATTAGGGATGAACATTACTGACATAATTTTTTATTTATCTTGCGTGATTGCGATGACTTCAAATAAGTAAAAAAATGTCAGTCACGCACTTGATGAGAAAAATGTAAATCAACAAGGAAAAATAGCTAGGTGTGTATGGAAAATGTGCGTAAGTAAATGCAAGGAGTAGTGTTGTGTCGCCGCACTTTCTCTCGTATCGATAATTTAAGTTTAAAATCTCATTGAGTGACATAACAGTCTTGTATTATTTAAAAACATAATTTTGGATGAAATGTATGTCAGGATGCTCGCAAATGATCTCTGAGGAAAAGCTACTTGTTTAAGTGCATACGAGTAAAGATTCAAAACCATTAAATTGTATTAAATTCAGCGCATAAGATATATTATATTAATATAGTATATTAGGTATTAAAAACTTATAAGTGATTAAATGTGAAAATAAAACAAAATGAATTAAAGTATGAGATAAAACACGAAACGCTGGAAACTATAATTTAAAAAAATAAAAATATAATTTTGCCATGATTAATGTTCTAGAACTACTAATACATGGCAAAACTTTCAAGTACTCCAGTTTGAGCCTCAATTACCATAATTATTCGGCCATTCAGTGCAATATCGATACGATCGCAGCACTAGCCGTTCTAACCGCGTTCCGTACCACGCTGTTTCGACTCGCAGTCGCCGGCCGCGAAATCCCGCGTACTGTCGTTCGCGAACTATTTGAAAACTATTCACGAAAACACTGGCCGCAAACAATGCCGCGACGTTATCTATAAAAATAAAATAATAAAAAAGTACACCTGTCAAATTTTCCCGCCAATAATGGCAGCCGTGAAAAAAGTTTTGACACAAAAAAGTTTAGTTTGTAAAAGTTTTACAATGTGTTAGATTAAGTTAGGATAGTGAATTCATGTAAATACGAGTATGTTGCTGTATTGGAAGAGGGTGATTTTGGCTGCTGCACTCACGTCAGTTTTGGATGTCAACAGCGAGTCCCTGTTCGGAAACAATGTAAGTGATGAAATATTTATTATTTACTTTTAATAAATAACTTAAATTTTATAAATAACATGAATTATTTAAAATGCTGACAATAGGTATGATCTATTAACAATTAACTGGATCATTTCAAAATACCAATACTACACCTAAAAACTTATGTGCATAAAAGTTAAAAGTACCTAAAAACTTGGGTACTTGTAAGGTTCATGCATTATTTATTATGATCATTTCATAGGTCAGCGCTTCGAACAGTTAATTATTGTGTCTATGAAAGTGAAATTATAGGGCAAGCCGCGCTTGCTCTACCGGCATATTTCCATAGTTTTGGAAATAACAATTTAGTAATCCCAAATAATTATAATCTAATTGGGTCATTCCATAAAAATCTATATATTTTCGACGTCATTTTGTCCGTAACTTTTTTAAGATGCTTTTGAATACTTTATTAGTGTAAATTATAGTTTATTAATTAATTATGTTATGTCTAAAAGGGCCAGTCACTTTATGCTTTATTTTAGGAGAAATTATAATTTTCAATTTTTTCATACTACATTACTCCTATATGACTTCTAATAAAGTATAAAACTTTTAACCTTAACATTTATAGATAAGTTAATACACATAATGTAGTTGTTTTGTTATTATCACTATATAAAAAACATCATTCCCTAACTAGTAATTTAGTCCCAAGTGCCGTTTAAAGCTAGGGCCTGACGCTCTAGGGACTGACGATTTGGAGTAAAACTTAACACAAATGCAGATTAACTTTATATTATAAGATGCTTAATACGATGTGCCGAAAATAGCCAAAAAACCACACGTAAATACTAATTAAATTATATACAATTTCTTATTGTAATCAATAAAGCTACTCAACTAGGGACTGACGAAGTGACTGGATTAACACATTTTTCCGCAACAACTGGCACGTTTGCACTAATTCAAAAAACGGCTACCGCAAAGCCAGTATGGTCTGAGGATAACTTCGTATCGTACTTTAAACTCAACTAAATGTCATTCACTCTAAATACATATTAAAGCGCAAAATTATGAAATCAGTCCGTGGCGAGGGAATGACGCTAAAAACTGTAGACTCTTTTTCAACTAAAGAAAAACAAATTATTGTTTATTGAAACCGCAAAATATTAATAGAATTTGGTGTAATATACATTTAAATAGATTATTCGTTAATTAACACAAAGGATAGAGTTGATGTTTTTATAAATGTGGGTCCCAAAACACAAACTTTTGGAGTACGGACATGCCTAGGGAATGACGTTTTGGGTCATTCAAAAGGAATTTAAGATGTTTTAAAAACAGTTTCTAAAAATATAAATGGGTTATGAATAAAGCACATTGCGAGCTGTTATTTAGCAATTTTGGAATAAAATATTAACAAATATTTCATGTGAAATGTGGCGCGGACTAAGAGTTGACATATTTTTGTGGAATGACCCAAATTTTAGGTAGTAAATAATAAGATCCTAATGATCCTTCTGGTTGATAACCACAACAGCTTGAGGTTAGCTTAAATTACTTGTGACAAAATACTTTTTCTGAGTCCACTACTCCTTGAAGACAAGAACTCTTTGATTTTATTTATATGACTTATTTACATTCCCATAGTACAAACCTTTTATTATAATAATATGATTACTTAAAAACACTAAATTATAATGTTTAAATCGCCAAGATTTGACAAACAATACAAATTAGCATTTGTTGATCAACTACAGCAAAAATAAAGAACTTTTTGATAGAGTTCGATATACTTAAGTTTATTATTGCTTTTTTATAAAGAATACAGAACCATACAGAAATCGAAAGCAATGGTGTGATAACAGATACTGATAAACAAGAATAACAAGCTATCAAGTATGGTCAGGTTCTACGAACTGTACCTATAGACCCTCACTGTTATTACGATACAACGGATACTAAGTTATGTACGTGTTTAAGAATGATTATAATTTTAAATAGGCACGTAATTTTATTGGATTAGTCCAATTAATAATAACTACAGTTCGTGTTCATTTAAGTTTTTGCAAGTTAACTATTTACTTATGTGATACTTGTTACCGATAGTAATACATAATGCATTTGAAATGAATGACAAAAAAGTTTAGTCTCCCTCTGCCTACTCAAAAATTATAAGTTAGAGGTTAATCTATCAAAAACACAAGAACTCAAACAACCTCTGATTTTGTCCAAATAACATGTCGAACGAACGAAACGAACGAACATGTCGACAGAGAGTTCAATCTCTAGCAGTTCGTAATAAAAAGGAATTAGCTATCTTAACTTAATATTTTTTTCTGCTTTCAAGATCGATAGAACACTTTATTGTACACCACGAGAAAAAGAAAGAAATACACAAACGATACAGCACAATTTAGACGGTCTTATCGCGAAGCGATCTCTTCAATCCTACTATCCTACTAATCCTACTATCCTACTAATATTATAAATGCGAAAGTTTGGATGTCATGATGTCTGGATGTTTGGATGTCTGGATGTTTGTTACTCTTTCACGCAAAAACTACTGAACGGATTTTGTTGAAACTTTACAGTATTACTGTTTATAACCCAGATTAACATATAGGCTATAATTTATGACGATCTGTGACATACTAAATTTCACGCGGGTGAAGCCGCGGGCAAAAGCTAGTATAAAATACGATTAAGCAAGTAAACTTCTTAGAAAGCTTTTAGCTTTATTTCAAGCTGAAGCTAAAGCTAACAATACAAACCACCCAAACACAGCCTCTAACTAACCAGACCGCCCAATACCAGTGCAAGTGAGGTCAAGGCCCGAAAAATTTGAACAATGTCTGAAACGCTTAAACAATAAAAGGAATTCCTTCTGTCATGTCCAATGTTTAAATTAACGTAATAGCGGATTGTAGACGCCTTGACATGAGAATATCAGGGTAGTTAACTGGCTGTTGCTGGGTGGAGTAGTAAATATAGCACAGAATAATAATAAGTACTACGTACAAAAGTTTTACTTCGCGAAGGTATTTAAAAAAATGTATGCTCAATGTCATTAACAATATGGTGTAATTTAGCTTGTCTCAAGAGTCAAGCACCATTTTGTTGACAAACGTCAGTGATCGGCACTGCGCCGAAGCTATAGGGCTGACTTCGGTAAAATGATGTGATGTGAGGTGCCAAACTGCGGAAAATAGCGGAGGAAATACATGATTTAGCATGAATTATCATGAATAATATTAACTACTTATTTACCTCTCAGTGTCTTGAGGCAACTTAAAACAGTACATTCTGTGTTATTATTATTAAGGCAGTTAAATACTGCACAGTATTTTACACCATTTTATTTATTTTCTTCCATCATACACAAGAATACGCGTGCGTGAGTCAATGTTTGCTCGTATGTGAGGCCTTGTCGAATAGTATCCTGTAGGTGGGCCATCGTGCGTGTTTTGTTTTCGATGTAAACTCGCGGAGATGAACAGGCCTGGTATTAGGCCCGGTTTCCACCAAAGCGGAGAGAAAAAGAGATGTGTTTTAAAATCCAATAACATTTAATTATTTCCACATCATTTTACCGCTCAACTTGGCTATTAAATACTTACTTTTAAGTATATAAAATACGATTTCTTCTCCATTTAAGTATTTTTACAGTACAATAAAATTTTATTACTCATTTTCCTAAATATCTGACTGTTAAAGTAATGTCACACTTGATGCGGTCTGCGGTAAGGTCAAAGTAAACGCAGCGCGCAAATCCTTTATTTTATAAAAAAAAAGTTTCGTAAACTACAAAAATTGATATCAAGAGGCTAAACAACTAATAACTGTAAAAAGAAAATGGCCGCTTTCAAAATCGGCAACCTTGAAAACCGGCGTTTGGTCGCCCATGAAGGAAAACCTCTGCAAGGTATGAAGCAACTACAATTAATCAATTATTCTATTTGCTATCTAGATTTTTCGCAATTTTCTAATGTACAAACTTCGGCATAACTAGATAAACCTTATGTAGATGAGATAGATGCTATTTTGCAATTAAAATGTGGTTGACTGTACGTAAAAGGGCGATGAGAATCTCAAGAACAAGAGGTGTTAGAATGTGCATGGTATTTTTAAATGCTTGAGAAATTAGTTCATTACAGTAGAGTACATAGTAAAGTTTTAATGAATGGATATCCAAATATGAAATAGTTTTAATCATTCCTTTGTGTTTCATGAACTGAAATTCATGTGAAAGAAAAATATTGACCTTGAGATCGTATTTATTTCAAACTAGTTTTCCACCCGCGACTTCCACCGCGTGAAATTTTGTATGTCACGGAAAAACTTTATCGGGTGGCGTCCCTTCAAAAACCGGGACAAAATCTAGGTACATGCTATGTCATTTCCTGAGACTCAAACTATCTCTATGCCAAATTTCATCAAAATCGGTTCTGTGGTTTAGGCGTGAAAGCGACACAGACAGACAGTTACTTTCGCATTTATAATATTAGTAGGGACAAGAGAAAACCGACTTCAAGGAAACAGTATTTTACATTTGAAGTTACTGTCGATCTCAAATTATTTTAAGGAGAGATAAAATTACTATTATGGTTCAACCTTTAATATATGTAGTGGTGTTATGTAGAGCCATAAGCTGATTTTTAAATGCTTAAAGCAAAATACATATAATTATTATTAAAGTTACTTATTTTATGGAAACCCAGCAGTGTATTAAACAGTCAACCCAAAAGCAACGGGTTGAAATAATGATTTGTTTTTGAATTAAATCATTAGCGTTTCAAAACTTCCTTTGCATTAATAATGGCATCCGTAGAGCTTGCGGGCATACTCTACATTAAAAACTTGAAATAAACTCGAAAAAAATTTAAAGTAAGCCGTTGTATGTTATATCCACACTTGCTTAATAAATTAAAAACTACTAGCTACTGACTCAACTAGTCAACGACCTGTAGGTAATAAATCTTTGGATTTATAGAGCTAAATTAAAGAGTGCAAAATACAGGCAACTTTGTTAA